ATATATATATATTATATATATATATAAATTTGTTGGTACCTTTCCATGAAAAAATAACTCACAATTTTCTCTAAAATAACTGAAACTGACAAAACTAATTGGCATCCAATATTTATTCCTTATTTAATTCAAATCAGACTTAGCTTTTGACAAGCCCCTTAAACTAATGTTTTGTTGCACAACCTTCAGAGGCAATCACTGCAAACAAGCTATTTCTGTAGTTCTCAATGAGACTTCTGGATCTGCCAACAGGAAGTTTAGTGCACGCTTCTTGAGCAAACTGCTCCACCTGTCTCATGTTTAAAAGATGTCTTCTCCAGACTGTTTCAGCTCTTTCCATAGATGTTTTGATAGGCTTCAGATCAGAGCTTATAGAAAGCCACTATAGAATAGTCCAATACTTTGTCCTTTGCAATTTTTGGGTCATTATCCTGTTGGAGGATCCATGACCTGTCAGTGACCGAACTTTGACACTGGGCAGTAAATTTTCCTTCAGAACTCCTTGATCGTCTGGAGATCACGCTGCATAGAACAGCCCCAAAACATAACCAAGCCCACAGTAGGTAACTGCGTATTTTTCTTTGAAAACTTCATTTGAGTTCACCATCACTGAAAAAGTGACGGATGGTGTAAACAGACACTGGTGTAACTTGGAGTTCAGCTTGCATCATTTTGTACATTTTGTTGGCTCTTTGATTTCTATATAAAGACATTTTTAACAATCCTGACATTTTCCCTCTACTACATTTAGTGCTTCTCTAGCCATTCTTTTTATAGGTTGGAACAGAAGGTGAGGGGAGTGTTTCAGGAGGGAAATCTTTTCTGTGAGAACTGAAGAGGCCATTTCTCCCCATTTTGAGATTTTCTTTTACTTACTTTTGTGTCTCTGGGACCAGAATCTCCCCAGTGGGGGGCACCAAAAGAACTTCAAGGGGTTGTTTAAACCCTTCCTATGCCATCTAAAAACCTCCACAAAAGAAAACAAAAAAACACAATTTCGTTTTAAGCCCTCTATTGTTTTAAAAAAAACAAATAGTCAATGACAGATATATTTCCCAAATCGCAAAATGTGTTTTCTAGTGGGAATCCTCATCAGTACACAAGTTCTGTGTGGGGAAAGAATTATCCCCTTCCAGGGCTCATTCACATTGCTGAATATTTCAAGCAGTATTGTGTGCAACTTTACTTGGCATATGCTTTCAGGTGAAGGGAAAGCCGCAGGCCATCCCAACATGTAGGATACGTAAACTAGCTCTTTAAGCTGATAGAAGCTTGCCTTTATTTAGTTAAAGTGACATTAAACCCTCAGATTTTTTAACATAAACCAATACTGTAATGTGTGCCTTACTGTAATCCATGGTTGTTTCCCTTCTCTTTGCTGCTCTTCCTTTTAAATCCTCATTTCTTCTCATGCTTGGGGAGAACTTCCCTTTGCAGCTGAGTGCCTATTCCTGTAGTGCTGGCTCAGGTTGCAAGCCTATACACAGACACCATGTATCCATTCCTGAGACAAGGCAGTCTGCTGCAAAACAGAAGTTCTGCCCAGCATGAGAAGAGATACGGATTTAAAAGGAAGAGCAGCAAAGAGAAGGGAAACAACCATGGATTACAGTAAGGCACGCATTACAGTATTGTTTTATGTTAAAAAATCTGAGGGTTTAATGTCACTTTAAATGAAAAACACAATTGTAATATTTACAGATACATTCCTTGACTGTTCAGTTCTAAAACATCCTCTTTCCTTGCAAGCCTTGCATTTCCTCATTTAAGTCACCCCTTACTTTGGCATGCAGGTCAAAGTAACAAAATCACTCAACCTTCCCCTCTCCTAAGTAGCATATACTTTTTCATTTCCTCTGCTCTTCCATTGCTTTATACTAATGAAATCAGAAATACAGTGTGAATGAAACAAATCTATTGTAACTAGGGATGCACCGATACCGAGTATTTGGGCTCGTGCTCCCCCAAATGCTCCAATACTTGCCTCTGATACCAGAACTTTCGGTCAAGGGGAGATTTCCTCTGACCGGCAGTGCCGCGAGGGAACATGGAGACAACTTGCCACTGGCTCCATGCTGTTTGACCAGGAAGCCAATTAGCTTCGAGCCAACCAAACAGTATGGCTCCATGCTAGCAGAAATACCGTCATCAGTACTCCGTATCGACGAGTACCAAAAGATAAATATCTGTACTCGATACCGAAAAACTGGTATCGGTGCAGCTCTAAATGTAACAAAGTAGGAAACAAATGATTTCAATAAGACAAGATTTATGATTTTGGTAAAGAAAGATATGACTACAGGGGTGTGGAAATTTTTGAAAAAACGACTTCTCCAAGGACTAAAGCGGGGGCCGAATCTACTTGTCCTGATGCAAAAAAAAATATTTTAACCAAAACCATATTTAGCAGTGCTAAGAAGCGCTTCTCATTGGTCAGTGCCGTCAGCTGACTGCGTTGACCAACGAGTGCTTGCAATTTGCGAGCGAAATTCAGACTACATGGAACAGGTACAGATAGTACACCATACTGGTGGACGGGAAGGACCGTTTGCTGAAAGGTAAGTATAGTGGGAGGGAGATTTGTGCGGGTAATTCCATCTTCCCAAATTACTTGGGAAAGTGAATATACCCTTTAGGGTTGGTGCAGACTTGGGGATTTCCAGGACGTGCGATCGTGTGCGGTTGATACAGCGGTTGCATCCGCATGTATGGGGTTACATCTGCGTGGCAATCGCTGAAAAAAAAGGTAGATGTACCTATTTTCACGACATGCACCGCGCAGTGTTTTCAACCGTAATCGCCCGCGGCGGTATTGCAGCCGGAAAACGTGCAATCTGCCTGGCACGACTGGGGTGCCATTAGAAAATAATGGCACTGACAGCATGATCGGCGGTGTTGTGCGATTCCGTGACCACCCAGCCATCTGCTCGATTTCGTGCACGATGACCGGGCAGTCACGGATCGCACAACGCCGATCGCTTTGCAGTGCTATTATTTTCTTATGGCACCCCAGTCATGCCAGGCAGATTGCGCGTTTTCCTGCTGCAATACCGCCCTGCCCGTGCGGTTGCACGCGATCGCAGTTGAAAACACTGCACGTTTATTCGCGTGCAGGTGGGGGCAGTGGGGCTGGTTTTAATTTTTTCTATTTACTTTGTAAAAAAATGTTCATTTGTTTATTATTTTTACTTAATCACCTTTTTTTATTTTTTACATTTTTATTCAGTTATATTTTTAATATTTTTTACTTTTTCTTTTTAACTATTTAAAAAAAAAAACTTAACTGTATTGCTATCACACAGGGAATAATAATCCCTGTGTGATCGCATTTGGAGGTGACAGGTACTCTTTATTGACCCTGTCACCTCCAACACAGGAGTTCTAGCACAGCACTGTTGCTAGGACTCCTGTGACAGGAACGAGCAGCAGCCGCTGAGGACAGAGGCTGGGGGAGGTGACAGAGCCTGTCACAGCTCCACCGTCAGGCTTTGTCACAGCTCCATGCCCCTCGCTCCGTCACGGCTCCACGCCCTCTGCTCCGTCCCCAGCTCTCAGCGCTTCGTCCCCAGCTCTGTCCACGCTCTCTGCGCTCCGCGCCGCTCCAAGAAAACCAGCCCTGCTACTTGTCCGTAGCAGGGCTAAAACAGTGCAGATACCATTTGCCCGGAACTACATGTCCCGGGCGTCGGGCGATGCGAATTCCACACCCCTGGACTATTAGACACTATGAAGGATCTGGCAACAATATAGGTGTATGAATTCCTTACGTACTGTTTTCTCTTTTTTTTTATTCCATCTTTTTTTCTGCTGTCAAGTTGTAGAAGACTTCACCAGGCTGTAGACCTAATTATTTCAGCTTCTTTACTTGTCCACTTATTAATGGATATGTATACTGAAGTGTAACACCTCTAACAGTAAGGCCCCATTTGCACCTATGAATGGGGCCAAACAGCAGAAAGGCATCATGGCACACTCACAAAACCAGCATGTAAAACAACTTGTCTCACCACTAAGGACAATGACAGAGGTTTGGATACACGTCTTCTGCAAAGGATGTGTAAGCCGCACTGCCGCGCCAAGGCACCTCTTATAGTGCGGTCCTAACTCTAAACTATGAGAGTCTCCATCTTGGAGCACATGGGGGCAGAAGATATCAAATTGGGTGCAGGTTTGTTTGTTGCAAATTGTTGAGTGCGTTTGTATAGGATGTGCGGGATCCCTTGTGTGTTTCTGTACCTTTTTAAGGAGGTTGGGCGTCCTCCTGACAAACCTGCACCCAATTTGATATCTTCTGCCCCCATGTGCTCCAAGATGGAGACTCTCATAGTTTAGAGTTAGGACCGCACTATAAGAGGTGCCTTGGCGCGGCTTACACATCCTCGGCTGAAGACGTGTATCCAAACCTCTGTCATTATCCTTAGTGGTGAGACATGTTGTTTTACATGCTGGTTTGTGAGTGTGCCATGATGCCGTTCTACTGTTCAAAGCCCATTTCGTGTGCACCTTACTGTATAACTGGTAACAAATTGTTGAGTGCGTTTGTCGTTTGTTTTGTATGAATGGGGCCAATCTCAGGAATTCTTCTGTGAGACTCATGTGATCTGCTGCAGGAGGTGATGTACAATGTTATGTTTGCAGGGCATTCACAGGTAATTGCACAGGCTTCGATTTACCTGTGGACGATCGCGTCTGGACGCAAACTGTTTGACCATCGGTGATCGCTGCCTGTGTGATTACATGTGAACAGTCTGCGGACAGTGGCAGCTGTCATTGTATTGTACAGAGTCTCCCACTCGCAGCTGATTGCATTAGTCTCACAGGGGAATTTGGGAGTCTCATGAGATCAGCCCTATTCGCATGCATGAATGGGGTTCAACAGTTGGGCAAAGTTGTTAGAAGCAACACACAGACTCTGAGCTGGTGTTCAGGTGTTTGATCGAAATACTTAAAGGAGAACTATGAGGTGAGTGCTTTTAACTCACCTCATAGTTCTAGCCGACCTGTGACAATGAGACTGTCACAGGTCGGCTCAGTAGATCGGGAGGTGAGCGAACACATACCGGGTTCGCTCGCCTCTCGAGCCTGTCACAGCTCTCTGCCGTGACAGGGGGAGGGGCTGGATTCCCCTCTCCCCGCTCCGATCTGCCAGCGCTGACTGGCGGAACGGACGGGGGAGGGGGCGGGTACAGCTGGCTCTGCCTCTAGATGGGCAGAGCCAGCTGTCACTCGCGCAGCTGGGCGGATCCAGTCATCTACGTCGGGATCCGCTGCGGCGTCTCAGTATACCGCGAGCTGTAGCTCGCGGTATACTGAGCTTACCCTAAGGAGAACTATGGGGAAAAACACTGACCCCATAGTTCTCCTTTTAAAGGGCAGATTTAGAAGTCTTCCAGCCAGCAGATAGCTGGGTGAGTGCTGTTTACATGGCACTTCCACCACTAGATGGCGTTGAGGCGCAAAGGGAAATTCTTGTGCTCCTCAGCGTCCTATAATTGCGGCGGACATTTTTCCACCCGACTCTTCCAATTTTTTTTTTTTTCAGTCGAAGGATGGTGGCAGTTAGGGCCACCCAATGAGCGAACCAGCCGAAATGTTGGTCTTACTATAAGGACAGCTAGAGTTATATTTTTAATTATTAGATCTGCTGTTCGATTAGGAACATATAACACACCTTTAGTGGGGTTTTCTCAAATTTGTCTGCAACAGTGGAAAGAATTTTATACATTATAGTCAATTTATTGTTACGGTTGCCAGATTTACAGATTAAAGTCTGAACAAACATGTCAGTGATTTGCTAAACATTAGATGGTTAGTGAGCAATTTTGTGTATCGCATTTATACTGATGGTACTGATGTGTATCCGTCTCTGTATACATTCCCCAGGTGTCCTGGGGAGTTGTATTTGCAGGCAGAGGTTTGTCTGTCATCATTAACCCAAAGTCCATAGACTGTTTGTTTGTTTCTGTGGACTCTGCTTTTAGACTTGCATAGCACTTATCACGACATCTTCAATCTTGTAAATAAAATATATTTTCATATTTTTCAGGTGCTAAATAATGATAGTGGACGTATATTTATCACCAGCAAAGAAAACTACACTGAGCTGAAAATCATAAAGCTGGATATCAGCGAGGACCCTGGTGTGTACATATGTAATGCTTCAAATTCGGTTGGGAACACAACAAGCCGCATCATCTTGAGAGTGCGCAGTCACTTGGCTCCATTGTGGCCCTTCCTTGGCATTGTAGCAGAAATTGTCATCTTGGTGGTCATCATTGTTGTGTATGAGAAGCGCAAAAGACCAGACGAGGTTCCAGATGGTAAGAGAAGGGCAAGGGCATAACGGATTTTGATATTTGTTCAATATTGTGCTACATAACAGGAAAAGCTTCTTGCCCAAATAAAAATGTCAAAGCAAATCGGAATACCATAGAACAAATAGGAAAGGCATCTGCAGTTTGACCTACACCAACTGGATCTTTTTAGTAACAACGCAATCAAAAATATATTTGCCTACATGATGCTTGAGGATATCTATGCAGTGTTTTTTTCTTTTTATTCTACTCTATATCATAGGCACTTGTTTGCATTGTATCAGCATTTCTCATAGGCTTGAATGAAATGTGGTGTGGCATCTCAGCCAGAGAAGCATGCACCGAAAGACAAGGATTCATTTCAGTGTATTACAGTGGGGTAGCTGCAGAGATTCCAGCTGTCCCCTACGCTTGCCAAAATGGGCTTCCAATAACCCCATAATGACCGAGGGTCAACTTTCATCTTTAGTGCAGAAGCTTGTGAACCATAAAACAAAAGGTGCCTTTTTCAGGGTGATGTATAGTGACTTCAATATTCTGCCCCTTATAATCACACAAGTCACTCATGTTCCCAGCCCATTCAAGGCTTGGTTCTGGTTTATCACTGAACATTGTGGTCTTCTGGTCCCCGTATGCAATTGCTCTGGGCAGTACAAGTGCCATTACCAAACCATACATATACTGTTTTTGCACAAATGCTTATCAAGATGATATTTTCAATAAAAATACAATAAAATTGTTATGAGCGCAAACAAAAACATACCTTACAAAATCCATACTAAATATAACAGATATAACGGTACTGAGTTAATAAACAATGATTATTTGTCACTTGTAAAGGATAAGTTCACCTGTTGCAAAAATTGAAGAAATGCATAATTAATAATATACCGGTATTCAATAAAAAGCATTTCTTTAATATTTGCATTGAAGCCTGGAAAGCATTGCAATTGTGGCTGCAGAGCTCAGGCTTCTGCACATTTCAGACTGACAGAGCTCATATGGAGGTACGGAGTTTCAGTTAGGAGAGATGGGGGGGCAGGACGGCTGGACTTCAAACTACATTAAATCACCTCATACTGCATCCAGCCGTCCTCCCACTAGGTAGAGCTGCCCGTATTCCCGCATCTACCTAGTTGATTTATTGCACTTTGAAGTCCAGCCGTCCTTTCCCATTTCTCCTAACTGAAACTCTGTACCGCAGTACGAGCTCTGCCTGGGAGAGAATGTGCTGATGTCTGAGCTCTGCAGCTGTGATCGAGTGATCTCAATTGCAATGCTTTCCAGGCTTGAATGCAAAAATTCAAGAAAAGCATATTTTTTTATATATATTAATTATGCTTTTTTGCAACAGGTGAACTTATCCTTTAAATTGTGCCTTTTTGCGAAACAGTGAAAACCGAAAAGTGCGCGAAAAAGTAAATAAGCAATTTATGTTAAACATCTGGAGGTTGGCCTCACACCTATGCATTGGGATAATGCCTGACCAACAGTGCCATGCAGCAATTGGTGAAGATGCAATAAAATGATGCAGGCATACATAAAGGCATGCAGGCGCATAGACCTGCATGTATGTAATAATAAAAGCTTTCAAAAACAAAAAAGTGACCATGAGCTTATAGCAAAAGGGAGAATGCAGCCAACATGACTGACCTGGGCAGCTGGAAGTTGTGTTCTGCTGCATTCCTGAGGGCTTGTTCACACCATCTCCAGACCGATAGGTTTTTATCCTCCCCAAAAACGCATACACAGTAATTCCATTTGCGTTTTTGATGTGTTCCAGTGCATGGGTTGTTTTTTTTTTTTTTTTTTTTTTTAGTCTCAGTTGATTTTCTAGTGTGTTTCAGTGTGTTCTGATGCGTTTACATGCATTTTGGTGTATTCCAGACCAGAAAAAATAGTGCATCAAGTTTTGGAACTGAATGCAGTGGTGTGAATTGGCCTCCCTTTTCCTATAGAAATTAATAGGCATGCATTTTTGGACCAGACAAAAAACCACCTGGTCTGGATCTGGTCCCTTTAAAGCAAAATTGTTTTACATATTGTTTAAATCTCCATTTTCAAATGTACATGCCCATAGAGCAGTGTTGGAAGTAAAAGTACCTGAGCTGCTACCAGATGACACCTTTTAAGATGTATATTACTTGGGTAGCAGAATGAAGATTTGATTTTGTTCAGTATATAAACACAAAATCACATTCTGCATTGATTTGAGTTGGCATCCTTGGCACCTAGATACAAGGGTTGGTAAGACCTGCAGTCGATATGGAAATATCCAAGCCATCTTTAATGGCTAAGAATGAGCACTGTGTCCAATGTTGCCATACTGTACGATATAGCATGTTGTGTAAAGCATGACCTCTCCAATTGTAGTGGAAAGTAATGGTATGCAGTGCTATCAATGACTTTAAAATGCAGCTTATGCCAGTTCAGGTATTGCTCTTAAGTGCAGCATTGAGTAGGGCTGCAACTATTATTTTCATAATCGATTAATCGAAAAAATAATCGGCCAACTAATCGGATTAAAAAAATTGAATAAGTACCATCCTTGACCTAAAATAAAATACACAAAGTCAGTGCCACAAACGTAAAGTTTACTTCAGAATAAAACTGCATACACAATTTTTTGCAATCCCAATGCACTGGAACACTCAGCATTGCGGAACCGTGCATTCCAGTGAAGGGCATCACACTGTGGACGGGAAGCACATTTGGGGTGCCACTGAAATGACTTTTTTTTCCCACCTTCTGTAATTTTTAAAAAATAATTGTAATATAAGCACATGGTGCTTGAATAGCTTCATCCAGGGAGTGACAGCTGCCAGTGGCAAGATTCCTCAGAGGGCAGATAAATGTAAATACAGCAGGTAGTGGGCTGATGCAATAGCTAGCCTGCTATTGGCCATTTCACATTGCAATAGCAGGCTGGCTATTGCACCCACCCACTGCTTGGAGGAGCATGGAGGAGAGAGCTAGGGGATCCAACCAACTAATCGTTAATGAGGAAAGTTGACAACTATTATTATCGATCGATTAGTTGCATCCATAGCTTGAAGTAATTTGCATGGTCCCTCATACACTGCATTTGTCTTTCAAAAAGAACACTATGGTAAGCATTATAGGTTTAAATGTTATTGGTAGTGCTATTGATATTTGTGCATACATTCATGGATACCAATATCATAAGCAGTCCCCAGCTTTGCTCCTTTGACAGCATGTGCTACAGTAAAAGTGTCACTCTTGCTGAGTTATATGTACCTGGAGGAAAAGAAAGTCAAATGTAACCTTCTGTAAAGCAGGTTTTCAAATACAACTGGTTTGTATGGGCTACACTCCTGCTTATTAGTAGAATACCTGTTTAGACTTAATACTAAGCCTATTTGAACCATAGTGACAGTATATCATTTCAAAATAATATTTTCTATTGTGATTAACAATGTCGCTCACACATTTCTTCCCTTTACGTGGTATATCTGGTAAGTTTGTGTCCTACATGCTTTTAAGTAACACTTCTCTACAGGTACACCTTAATGTTATGTTGTCTGTGTCCTGAGGTTTGTATAAACACTTGTATCTGAGCCCTGGTGCCAGCTTGCTGTGGGCATGAAGCACACTGTTGAAATTACTGCATGGTCATATGACAACTTGAAGGTGTAGGCTAGTATTCCCTAACCCTAACCCAAACCAGTCAAAGTTCAACAAAGCTTTTACTTCAGGGATGTTTTTTCTTTTACAGTGTAAACCCAAAGGCAGAGTTTGGCAGTATATGTTAATATTAGCATTGCTTTCATAACCAGATTAGTTTGCTCCCTCCCTCACCCCGTGTCCAGAAATTCAGCAGTGCTTTTCATACTCGAGCATGAACTGAGGTGTGTTCTCTCTGGCTCAGCTTTCCCTCCACATAATCTATTTATATACCCATGCATTTTTGTAAAGGTTTTAGCTGACTAGTTTCAGATTTTGCTTCGCAAACAGATGCTTTATTTTTTTTAAACAACTTTGCCATTGCTTCCAGCTTCAGCAGCCCAATTATTCAGATGCAGTAAGCTATGCATCTCTGCTCCGCACCAAGTAGGCATCTGCAAAGAAATGTCGAAGTTGCAATTATTTCAACAATGTTACTGGGTATTGGTCACTGGGACTGTTCCGTATAAGACTGTATTCAAAGTGAACTGACTTACTGAGTCAAATTTTTTTTAACTAAACTGCGTTCATTTCCATCTCGGCAATTGTACAAAGTACTCAACTGGCTGTCTTAGCCTGGACTGAGCATATGTTTCCAGATTCTGGACAACCTCATCTCTGCTGTAAGAAGTACAGCTCAGTAAAACTAGTGTGAATTGCTTAGGTGGAATTTGAAGTTAAACAATTGAATTGTCTTTGTCCCCCCCCTCTGGTGTACTTGGTTCCCTGTCAAAAACAACATATAAGAGTCATCTTATTTATGGACTAGTCATTTTGTTATTTATTAACCAGAGGCCTGAACTCTTCTATTTTTCACATGGAAATATATAGTGTGTGCATGGGTGTGTGTGCTAGGATTCTCCCTTCAAGCATAGTTTTCCAGCAAGATGCACTGCAGCTATGTCTGCCATTTGAAAAGGGTTCCCTTTTACTGGCAGTTCAGTGTATGCTGCTGGTTCACCTGGGCACTGCCTGAATAAACCTGCTCTTCCTTTCACCATTGCTTCCTCTCCGCTTCACATTTTGCTTGCCTCCTTTCTCAGCAACACAGATTGGATCGATCACTCCATTTCTTTTCTCCCAAAGTGTTTTTCTTTAAGTTTTCTTTACTTTGTTGGTTGGGAGGGGGAATCCAGGGAGGCAGCTTCTCTAATGATTCTTGTCGGTTACTGTGACTTTTTTTTTCCCCCCTTCAATTGCATCAAACCCTAAATATTATGGTGGTAAGTGCGAGTTTTGCATGCTTTGCAGTTTGTCTAATCTCGCTTCCGTTGTTGGGATTGCTCAAGCCCATGATGTTAACACACGGAGTTTCCCTCATTCACTTTCACAACTAATTTTCAGTTTATTTTGGTTTTCTTGTTTGTTTAGCCTTCGCTGTTTTAATAAAAACAAAAAAGCAGGGTTTTTTTTTTTTGTAATCTCCTTTTAGTCACAGCCTGCCCCTACCCCAGTGTCCTCACCTTAGGTGGGTTCTTGGCCTGTTATGTCCTTGTTATGGTACTGGGTCAATAAAAGCGCTTTAAAAGAAGTGCAGAATCACAAAAACTGGAAAACGTAGATGTACACCTTTTTAGTAAATTGTTTTGCATTCCCAGCTTAGGCCCTCAATGACTCTATAAGACATTGCAGGGGTTCTTCTCTGTAATTAATATACACCTTTCTAAAAAGCACAACTGCAGAGGGCGATTGAGGACTGTGGTTGAGAAACTCCTGCCTATAATTCTCATAGAAACTTGGATTACTCATTTCCAGTCCTTTGCCAATTGGCTAGCTAGGTTTTTGATTTTTAGAATGCAATTTTCAGTAGGCAGGTGAGGATATTTTAGTGCAGAGTTTATCATTACATTACGTTCAAAGGTTTATATGAAGCCGTATTACAGTGCAGTGTCAGATAAACAATCATTTAGGTAAAACACATGAAGTATAGGCCAGTTAGCTCAGTTTTGTTATTTTAATGGGCTGTAGACAATAAAACAAATTGCTGACTGGTTGCAATACCCTTTAAGTGTATCCTTTGTAGACTGGGAAGAGCAATATGCAGTCAAGAAAAAATATGAGGTTCCCTGTGTAGATCAACAGCTAACTAAGGGGACTATTGTATTTAAAACCCCAGTATAACAGGAAGCCACAATGTACATCACAGAGGTGTATGTAAGGTGAATCTGGAAAGTAAGCCATAGCAATGCAGACTGTGTTACATGTTAAATGACATCTCCACAGTCCAGGCCCTAACTCTTAGAACCCATTTCCAATGTTCTAGTTTGCCTGCAACAAAACCACACATACCACAAAGAAAAGACTGTACCATTGTATTGAATGTTACGGTCTCCAAATATGCATCTTGGGTTGTGGTTCCCCACAATGCAGCCTGTAGCTTTATACCCTTAACAGCGGATGTGGGCCCTTAAATTTAAGAATGAGAAAGTCTAGCGTTCGTCAATATGCTGCCTACTGTAAAGAGTTCATAGTGTCATTTAGTGTGGTATGGAGCCTTTCCACTACTATTATAAGCACATTTTAAAATCTCTGCTTCATTCACAAAAATAGGTAAAGATTAGAAATGTTTTTTTTTTTTAACATTTTGTAGATTGTGACAAATAGTTATATATAGGACTGATTCATCCCCCCCGCTTTTCCTGTAAACTGCAGTCAGTTTGGGGGCACTAGATGGAGCTAGAGAATTGATATAGTGGTAGATGAGGAGGTATAAAGCTTCTGAATTGATTTAGTAGTAGATGAGGAGGTAACGGATGAGACTTCTAAATACATTGGTAGGCGATACAGTACCACTGACAATCTACTGTGGCATATATGTCAACTTTTACCCTCTTCAATCCTACTGGGAAACGTGTTTTCCTACCAGTGAATGGTTTGGTTTTGCATTTGTGCGTGCGTGTGTCTGTCTAGGGAATTGGTTGCTGTGTCTCTCAGGCCCTCTGTGTAAATGTAGCTCCTGTACATTAATATAGCACGCTGTAGCCCTCCCCAGTCTGACTTATCTGTCCCATTTCAAAATGCATTTTGCCAGTTTACCAGACGTCTGTGGACAAAGGCTTGTTGACTGTTTGTGCACAGTTTGTTTTTCCTTTTATTTTCTATTTTTGCTTTGTTTTTTCTCTTTTTGTATTTAATTTCCACAGAGATATAATTTTTTTGGCTACCTGTTGACTCTGTTCATGCGCTGCCAGCAGGTAGAGAGGAAGTAATAGGGATCATATGATCATATTACTCCCTGATTGTGCTCATGCAGGCACCAACACACGTTTCAAAGACTGCAACTTTTCTCCATCTTTTTGCTTCATGTGCACTAGTCTCCTTGTGGAATCCTGCTGCAAATTTTTCTTCAAGACTTCAGTGAATATCTCTCAATTTGTCACACCCGTTTGTAGGCATTACCGCTTTAAGGAAATGAAAGCAAATGCAAATGTTAGTCCTTCTAAAAAGATATGGATGCAGTCAATTTGGCCACTGCACATAGTAAAGGTCTATGTGACCTAGTAGCTGAAGTCTGGCGGGGGAAGAGGATGTTCATGCTTCTTGTATTTGCTCGGTCCATGAGTGTGTTAGGAAGAATACAAAGTTCTGGTAATAGTTTAGAGTCTAGATAATGTACAGAGTAGAGTCTTGGTGAAGGAAGACCTCTTCTGCTGATATCACTAATGTACCCGTTACCCCACTGTAAGAAAACAACCAGCAGGATTTTACAACTGAAATGTTGGGTTTGTCTTGTCATTAATCTTCTGAGTGAACCACTGGAACTAGGGGACAAGATGGTTTCAATGAAATCTCTACAATCTGTCCACTACAGTTGCAGTCCTTCATGGCCGATATCAGACTTATGCTTCATCTTAAAGAACATAACCAACCATTTAGTAACAAGATTAGTAAGTTTCCTCAAGTGGCTGTGAAACATCGAGACAGTGATCTGTAGTCACTGTAGTTATGAGTTCTATGTAGGCTTGCTGTTAGCTCTTTTTTTACTTTAATTTTTTTTTTCTTATTTCCTTTTATGATCGCTTGGATGCTTCAGATGATGAACCAGCTGGACCAATGTAAGTAGACCTATATGCCTAAAAAAAAAATGTTTTTTTTCTTTCAGTGTCGTCGTCACCCTTCATGCCTAAAGCATTTCATGGTGCAGTTTCTAGCCTTAGTTATTAATACTGAGGTCTGTGGTGGCATGATGCATTTGTTTTTTGCATTATTATTGTATATGTGAGTGAAATGTTCTATGTCTATATCCATATCCATAGCCCTACCTACACTATTGCAACAAAGTGAAAGCGAAATTTCAGACTAGCGTCCAGAGAATTCAATCCCTATCAGAATTTTATTGCTGTCTGTTTTTTCTCTGGGGCCATTTAAAACCAGGGCACGAAGTGAGCGAAACCTCAGTGGGGGCACAGACAGCATCTTATCTTAAGTTCCAATGTATGGAAGTAGCACATTTTTATAGAATAAATTTGTTGTTGTGGAGAAGAGACTCCAGTCTATAAACCTCTGAAAATGTAGGCTTCTGGAGGATGTTCAAGTTTGTATTCAAATTTTATTACAACACAGTAAACCATTGTGTATAGATTGTTATAGAAAGGTCGGCCTGTTTGCAGTGGAGTATGTTGGACCCTTCATGGCTTGTACACACACACACACACACACACACACACACGTGTTTCTAATATAGTACTCGGTGAAAAAAAGCTATATGTTTTGGAAATCAAGAATTTGAGTTTGACCTGGTAATACACATGTACTAAGTGTGCAGTAACACTGTTTTACCAGAGGTAACTGAAACCTGGATGCCCAGACTAAATTTAGCAGTGTCAGTAAACGAATGGCAAGGCCGTATGTGTAGGAGAGGGGTGTAGAGGATATGCCTATGGGCAGTATGTGCTGTGTAGAGGAGTATATTGGCAGGCAGTATGTTTTGCTGAGGGGTGGACCTAAATGTTTTGAAACTTTGGCAAGGAGAAAAGTGCTTCACCCTGTTCAGGCCTCCTCTCGACACTGGGTGGTGCTAGGTGCAGCACAGCAGGAAATATTTTGTGCTGTATGTTCAGGAGCCTGGTAAGGAATGCCAAACTGGGTATGTTCTCCTCAGGTCTTCCCTCTTTAGGCCTCTGTTGGCTTTGATGGAGCAGAGTGCAGAAAGCCACAGAGGGGATGCTGTCAGTGGACCTAGTGTAGAGGCAGTTTGCTGGCTGAGCAGGAGCTGGACTGTTGTGTTGATTTGGCAGGGGATTGGGGAGGTATTGCTTTAGTGGATACTGAGGAGAGTTTGTGGTTTAAAAGCAGAAACATAGTACATGCGTTTTTTGGCCACATTCCTTTTAATGCTCCAGGATTTCTTAATGATCGTGACTAAAATAACATTTTGACGTGTTTGTCTAGCTGGACTTGGTCCTTTTACTTAAAAAAAAAAGAGGGGGGCGTGTCCTGCACATGGCGGAATAGGCTGCATAGCGTGAGAGCTCCGTGATACCACTAACCTACTCGGCTGAACTGTACATCCTGAGAAGCGCTCCCGGACCGCAGTGACCTACCACATTTTCCTCCCTCCCTTCTCTTTATCACCAAGGGAGCCGCGGGCCGGACCTGTTTACACTCCGGTCCCGGCCTACCCGTCGGTCACCCCCGGGGTCGCTATGGTAGCACTTCTGGCTCGCGCGCGGTGGCAATGCGCCCTGATCAACCACTGGCAAGACTCTCGGGGATACGGGGGCTAGTCGTGCGATCAAATGTTTGAAATGCCGTAGTCGATCTGTATGTTTATTACCATTATCAGAGTTCTCTGTATTTTTGTTGTGATCTCCTGTGACACTTGTACATTCTGAGAAGTACACTCTGTATTTATGTTGTGATAACATGTGACACCCTTATCTGCTGATATGTTACGTAACTGTTCAATAAAGAATTTATAAAAAAAAAAAAAAAAGCCCATTACCATTTAAGCTAAAATGTATATGAAGAGTAGTCACACCTCCCTGCCTGCTCTGGTCATTTAGGGCTGTATGTATTTCTTTTGAGAGACATGGTCTGAAAGCAAACTGCTTCTGCTATGCTCTCATTAGAAAACCTATTTTGCTTTCATTTATTAGTGGATCCTATTTTGCATGTTTAATTCTAAAATGACCATAGCCTCCGCTTATAACCTTAAAGAATGACCCCAAACCATTAGTCAATTTTGCTACAGATTTTCCATTCTAAATACAATTTTTGCTACAAATTCAAACATCTCACCAGCTCAATTGTTTTCTTCTAGCAAAATCTTACTGTTATGCTGCTCTAAAAAAGTTTATTCTGCAATTATGAATTCTGATTATGCTTTTCTCATTCCTTCCTCCAGGAAGAGTAACTCTACAAATAACCACAAAGATAAAAATTTGAGGCAAAGAAACACAAGCTAAACAAACTCTGTAAGTAATATATTGTGTGTACCTAATATAACCCGTTGTGTAAAGTTCACCAGGCATGGCATGTTCTCAGTTTTTAGCAAGTCATTTAAATAGTAATAAATCTATTACACGTATGTGCAGGGTTAAAAAAAAAAAAAAATTCCATACCCCAGATTTACAGTAGGCTTTTTATGTCACGTGTTTGTAATTTTGAAAAGGAAGCCAGTCTTGAACTTGCTAGGATATGATCAATAAATGTCTCTACATGCTATTACCTTTTTTTTCTCTGGAGTGTGCAGTATGGATAACATGCTATAAAATGAGCTACAATTATCTTTGTCTAGAGGCTAGCACTCCTTAAAAGTAAAGCAAAACCTTTTTTTTGGCTTTACTTCTTTTGAGTCCTAGTAATACATTTTACTAATGTACTCTTGTGACCAAAAGGAGGAGATAAGCAGGCTAATGCCTGATATTGTCAGGGTCCACTTCGGCTGCCTAAATGACAGCTGGCTCTGCTCTCTAGATCCGGAGCAAGCCATGCACACCCCCTCCCTGGTCTGTTGCTCCAGTGAGTGCTGGAGAAAAGAATGGGGGGGCGCAATAACAGTCATCACTTGGAGACAGAGAGCCGAGTGATCCGTGGGTTACATGACTGCTCAGCTCTCGGTGTAGAGCTGGCATGTGACAAGCGGCAGTGTCCCACACCAGCCCATAAGCAAAAGGGAAAGTATGCTAACACTCCCCACAGAATCTTTATTTACTTCAGCAAACATATTTTGGCACCTTTTAATAAAGGAGGTATTAAAAAAACATTCAGTCTCTCCCCTCAAATACACACCTACATCTTTGACGTGTTGCATTAAACCCATTGTTAGATTACAGAATTTAAAAAGGAAAGAGTATGTTTCTGCTGAAAAAATCAGCTTGATCTGGTGAGGATTGTGAGTGAACTGTAGGAGTTTTTACATAATGATAGAAGGCCAGTAACATGCGAAAATTCAATATTTACAACATATTGTGCACGGGTACAATATAAACACAATTCTATTTTTTTAATAACTATAACTTATTACAATCGAATTTTTTATTTTGAACCCAATTCTGAACCTTGCACAGTGGAAACTTGTTGACTGCATAAAAAGCATCAGCATCAGGAAATATGGTTGTTAAAATAATTTTAAGTCTGCTTCTTTAAGCATAAAGACCACATTTGGTAAGAATTAGTCAGTAATGGACTATTCAGGTAGACCGTATAATCTTCATGGACCCATTAGGGCTAAATGCTTTTTAGGGTGAGTGAACAGCAGTATAGTCATTACACATTAGATATTTGGTTATACAACCATAGACAAATTTGTAGGTACATGTTCACAAAAAAGAACAACCCACAGTTTTCTGTGAAATAACTTTCCTTGTTTGTTCCATATTAAATAAAAATCAGACTCCGCAGTTGGTTAATAAAATGTAAAAGAAGGAATAAAAATGGCATGGAAGAAAATTAGGCTCTGGTATTCTGTTGCTCTACCTATGGAGACAATTGCTGCAAACAAGCGATTTCTGTAGCTCTCTGTGAGAGTTCTGCACCTGCCAACACGCAGCTTGGCCCACTCTTCTAGAGCAAACTACTCCAGCTGCCTCAGGTTTGACGGGTGACTTCAGACATGTTTCAGCTCTTTCCATAGGTGTTCTATAGGAAGCAGATCGGCTCATAGAAGACCACTTAAGAATATTCCAATGTTTGTTCTTGGATAAAAACACCCAAAATTGTCCGTGTTTTGGGTCATTATACGGTTGGAGGACTCATGACCTGAGATGGAGACAGAGCTTTCTGACCCTGGGCAGTACATTTCGCTCTAGAATTCCTTGATGGATTTCATTGTGCCCTGTACAGATTAAAGCGCCAGATGCAGCAAAGCAGCCTGAAAACACCAGCGAGCCACCTCCTTGTTTCACAATTAGGATTCTTTTCTCTGAAAGCTTCATTTTTCATTTGGAAAACATAGAGCTGTAACTTGCCAAAGAGCTCCAGTTTGGTTTCATCTGTCCAAAGGACATTCTCCTCTAAGCATTGTGACTACATTTTCACAAATTGCACTCTGACTTTTTTCCCCCTAACAGTGGAGTCCTCCTGGTTCTTCTTCCTGTGAGGCCACTGTTGCTTATAAAGGGTGGATGGTGTAGACAGACACGGAATTTGACCAGGGAGATTAGCTTGTATCTCTTAGGAAGTTTTCCTTCTCTTTGTCTGCTATTCGCATCATCCTCCTGTTGAATCTGGGGTCTTTTTTTTCCTCTTGTGGCCACGTCCAGGGAGGGTGGCTACAATCCTATGGACCTTGGGCTAGTTCACACGATTTGATGGTTTTTCTCCAAAATGCAGATTAGGCCATTATGTCACTTCCTTTGTCTTGGCAGAGCACTTGGCTCTGCTTTTTCTTTTGGATGCGTTCTGTTGCATTTGCATGCGTTTTGATGCAATCCGTTGCATCGGAACGGGATGCCACTGGTGTGAAACGGAGTACCAGAAATCCCATAGGAAAGCATTCTAATGCATTTTGGATGCAGCTGACAAACTGAACAGACTGCATCACAGGTGCATCTGGTGCAAACCAGCCCTTAAACCTCTTTAATATAGTAAGTCACAGGAACATCAAGCTGCTTGGGGATTGTCTTTGTAGCCTTTTCCTTTAACATGCTGGTCTGTTTTGGTTGGGTTTTTTTTCCTTCTGCTCTCCTCAGACTTTGTCCTTTGCTTTATTTGGTCCATGGTCAGTGTTACCAAACACAGTGACTACTTTTCTCCATTTAAGGCCTCATTCACACAGGGCGTGTCAGCGTGCAGGGCTGTCTTTTTTGTTTATGTGCCTTGAACTGCAGGCAGAAGCATGCAGGCAGCTCATGGAGGTCTATGTAGACGCAGGAGCTGTGTGCTTTCATGCTGCTTCCTGCAGCTCTGGCTTTTGGCACCCACACGGCACCCCAGACGCATACATGATGGTTCCAGGTCCATATGTAATATATTTCTTGCGTTTGCCATCAATTAGTCCAAACTTCCCTGGGTCATAGTGATACTGTTTATACTCGTGGGCACTAGAAGTTAATAAAAGATATAAACACTTTTTTTGCAATAAATCATTTAGATTAAATCTGGACTTGCCCTTTCCTTCCATGTTAATCCGTTTTATCCACATAATACTAACAATATAGGGTAGCTAAACCAGTCCTTAGATGTTCTAGCTGCGATCATTTGTAGGCTTTTCCCCCTTTATTTTTTTTCCTGGTAACACACTGCCTGTCCTATTGTGGCACCGCTTATTAACTGCACTATATCTATGGAGGAGCAGAGTTGCCACCCTAGAACGGGGATCGATTTAAGGTTCCCAATGCATGGGGATATATCTAATCACTAGAAATTGTAGAAGGAACAAAAGGTATTTTTGTATTTATCCAACAGATCTACCAAAATGTTTTACATTGTAAATGTAACAGGCTAAAAGGGAGCAAGCAAGAGAAGTTTATTGTTGGGAATGACATAAAATGTATACCAATGTTCTCAATATATAAGGCTATGGAATTTCATTTGACCTGGAGTTTGTAGGTGCAAGGTGGCAGGTATCTTGGAATAGAGGTTCTCAACTAGTGTTTTTTGTACCCAGAGATCACTATGTTGGTTTTTGGTGGCTGTAGCCTGATACAGTACATTTCATCATCAGAACAAATATGACACTAATATAGAATACATGTTCCTGACGTTTAACGGAACACTTAACCCTGTTCCAACTTTCCCTACAGCCAAGCCTTGAACAATTTATATGTTAACTCTCACTCTCTGTAATTGTGGCCAGCCTGTTCTGACCCAGGCTCCCCAATCAGACAGCACGTTAAAAAATACACTCCTCCTGAGAGTACGTTTTACTGCCCCAGCCTGTGATTGGACAATGAAGGAGCATAAGTAATACTGATGAGATGATAGCTGGCCCCCTGTTGGGAAGCTTCCAGCATTAGATGGACCACAATGTGCAGTACAGTAGAGCCTGACTGGAGATTACAGGAACATTTTGCCAGCTTTACGACTTCTTTCTGTGTGTTTCTGTAAGTGCTATAGCAAGGGTTAAATTACCCTGTGATACCAATATGCTGAAGAGACGGGCGCTGTTCTCACACACAAGCACCAGCATAGGTCTCTAGCAGTCGCACACTCCCCTTGCAGCGCTCACTCTCCCAAAGCACTGTACAGGGGAGTGCTGCTAGCACATGGTGCTTTACCCTTGCTGCAGCACTTTAGTATGTATGCAGAGAAGTAGGAAGATGACTATTCTAGTAATACAGAGGTTTCAATTGCTATGATAAATTTCCCCCATTGTGCTTTCCAAGTTGAATTTCCAAGCTGGAAGCCATCCCCGTCGTCTAACCCTTTCCTCCCCAGCTTTTCTGTCCCTGGCCCACACTTTTCATTCATTGGATTTCAGTGTTTATTTATAGATGCTCAGCATCCCATGTTAGTGTTGCCTAGGGTAAACTGCATGCAAATGCAGTCTTCCTAGGAAACTCCCACTCCTCCAAGCTTGAATCTACCAATCAAGGTATTTTGATATTTGAATGTGCAGCAGGACTGAGGGCTCTTGAGAGAAGTACGGAGGCAGGGTGCTGTGATGTTTTCAGAAAGCAATGTATAGCACTCTGCCAGATATGATCTGCCTGCATTGCATGGCAAAGCACAGAGACCCAGTGATATCACTAGGACTAAATACAGGTATGTAATGAATACAGGTTTTATTTTAAAATGTCATTAGCATGGTGGTAATGGGGTATGCAAAATATAAGCAGATTTAACCAACTTTAACCTGCTCCATATACTGGATTAACCTACAATTAATTGTTTTAACTTCTTGTTGCCAAAATTATTGCTACAAAAACAGCCGGCACCAAGATATACCAAAGCTGAAAAACGACCTGCTTTAGAGCGAGCTCAATGTCACTGCTTACCAGCAAATACAGTACATTTAAGTTACAAAATAGAATGATTTGGATAATAAACACAGTTGGAGATGCTTGTTACAAAAAGAACTTCAGAGGGGACTTGCTTAACCATAAGTTCCTCAACTTTATTACCTGATGTGTGCTTTGCAGAAAACCAGTGTCTTACAACTCTTTAGTCAGGGTAACTTTAGGGTCAGATGTGCGCACTTTGATGGCTGCAACAAAAAGGTATATATTATACTGACATATATGTAAAGTCTGTGCAAGAAATATGCATTCACTGGGATCAAACTCCTAAAGAATACTTTTGAATAGCAGGGGATTTGCTTTCCAAAGAAATGCTTAAATGTGTTTTTTTTTTTTTTTTTTTT